CCATTCTTTTCTTTATTAGTTCGAATTGTATAACGTAAAATAAAATACAGTGAAGATATAAAGCCTTTTTTTTTATCCTTTATCTTCTTGAGTGAAAGTTGTAAGAAGCAAAGAGACAAACCGAGAAGAAAACAAGGAGAGGAGGGCGGGAACAATCAAGATCACTTAGCTCTCGTGTAATTATGATGATACTTCATAAATTCAAAGAAAAATTGTATGAAACTTTGCGAGCCTGTTTTGATGCGTTGAGATATAGGAAAGGCGTTTGACCTTTAATTGTGAATATATTAATATGCTGGTAGCCTCAACATGAATTGAGGAAAGACTGTGTAGTTGTGATTGTAAGTGAACATTTGTTATCTAAAATTTTGTACTGAATTCAGTGACATACGAGTGTATACATTACTTATGATCATGTTCTTATTCATTAAAACTTTGATTTTGTAGCAGCCCATCTAATGATAAGCAAATGAAAAGAAAGCTAGAGAAAAAAAAAGATAAAGACATAGGGTTGAATCATACATTTTAATAACAGTAGATCATAATCAAGAAGAGCTAAGCGTGTATGGCCATTAGCTTTTGTTTTTTATATGCCCAATATTTCTCTCTGATTGCATCTTGCTTTGAAGCCAAGATGTCGCACATGTCTAGTGCAGCCTGGTCCACTTGTGTTTTTGAGTCTTTAGCGCGTTTTTCATATATATCAATATACATTGATAGGATATAAGGTGACTCAATAAGTGAGTCAACCAATTCCTTCAAAAAGGGTTCAATGGTATCCAAAGGTGTCCTCGTAGCTTCATATATTCTATAGTGAATGAACCATTAGTGTCTCAATTCTCTTCGTTTAGCGTCCTCTCCTTTTGTGTCTTTACCCTTTCAAGTACGACCAACTACTTGGGTTGTTGGGTGCAAGACGGATATGCTTGTGGCAAAACCTAAAGGTATGTTTGTTCTTAGTTCTACCAATATGGCATGTGTATCATTTTAACATACTCGATCTCTTGTTTGATTTCCTCTTCCGTTGGCTTTGTGGGTTTTTCAAACAGTATATAATATCTGTAGTTCCAAGCAGAGTTATTTCTTACATCAAACATGATCAAATCGCTTGTATACGCCAATTCCTTTTCCCATAGATTAAATCTCTTTACTACCCACTGTCTGTATGACCATCCATGATAATTCTTTGGATCATCTTCCAAAATAGAATTAATAAAGTTTAATTCTCGATCCCCCTTGTTTAATCTGTCAGCAATAATTTGTCGATGATGCCTATGAGTTAAAGAGTAAGGTACATAATATGTATATATGCTTAATTCTATACCATATCTGATAATTTTTTGCTTGATCAGCAGCAATCTCGTCAATGTAATCAAGTTCTTCATCCAAGTCTTTGTTTAATGCAAACAATACATCTTGTCTGTAATTCCTATTGATAAACAATGAGACAAGTAGCTCATGACCTGTGCTCTTTTTATTTTACCAGACAGTATAATGAGCAGGGTTTCTTTCCAAAATATCTTGTGTTAACTGTAATACGCGTTCTGACTTTTCATTTGCGTGAATGACAGCACGAAAGTAATCCATAGCATCCTTATCTATTAACAGCTTTGTTACTTGCTTTTTCTTTTTTTACAAGTTAATATTACATTCAGTAGAATAAGCAATCGGCACTAATGGATTAGGTCCGTCGTCTTGGGGTATAGGCGTAATGTCTTTCCAGTCTGGGTTCTCACTGTATAGCATCTTGAAGAAAAAAGAAAAATAAGGCTGAGATTTAAATAGATGAAGGTGCTTCTTATAAAAGAATTAGCCAATGGTTCGAGTATAAATTATAGGTAAACGTTGTTTATAATAGAACAAAGGGGAACATTATGCTTAGGAATTCATTGTCATATGTATCTATTCTTGATACTAAGTTCTCTCTCTTTTTTGTTCATCGCGCTATCCAGCAATAAAGATTTAAAAGTTGTAAATAAGCTCAATATTAATTACATTGTGCTTACATCCTGTCAAGTAAAGAGATATTATCTGCACTGTGTGGCAGTTCCAATAACCATCATCTTCTTTACTCAAGCAATTAGAGAAACTGTTTCTTTTTTTTAAAAATTTATGCATGAGAGCTTAAATATCTTATTTCTATCCTAACGATTAAAGGGAGGAAAGCATGTGTACAATCTTTGAAACATAATAAAGAAGCTTAGACATAATAGACTTTTTGTTTATGAAACAGAAAAATGAAATGAACCCATTAGCATTCATAACAAGAAAAGATGTAGCAGGATACTATAGTCATTATTAAAAAGTATTCAACTGTTTTATATACTTTTGCGATAAAAGAAGAAGAAAGCAAGAAAGAGAGATTGTATACTTTCGTTATCATAGTCTTTTTTTCCTCCTTATTAATCTGTTTCATTCTTTCTTATTAAATATTCAACATAGCTAATAAAGCAAAATATTCTTCATTTTGGCAGCAAAGTTTACTCATAAAGATCATTAAGGGCTATCGTTCCTGGACAAATTCAAAGAGATAGTAGCTATCTCCTGTAATTGCTATTTATGCAACAAGCGTGTTCCAAGTACCGCTAACTGGTAAAAGGAAGGCATAAAATAATTATTTCCCCCTTTTTTCTTTCTTCTCTATCATTCCAGTTATTATGCTGCAAGAAATGGCTAAGTGTGATGAAGATCGTATAGAATTATCTGATTCTGAAGAGACCCTCTTTACTGCTCCCAGCTCACCTACTCTCAGTGCTAGTTTGCCTTCAGCTTACGACCCTGTAATACTTAATGCACTATGGAAGTTCTTAAAGCAAGTCCATGAGACTGGTTTATTTAATGAGGGTCATAGCGTGAGCGGATCAGTGATTGAGAGTAATGTTGCTGAGAGTGATACCCCTGCTGTTGTCGATAGGGAAGTAGTGGTCATATCTTCAGATGATGATAATGATGATGAAAGCTTTATACATCTTCCTTCACTCACTCAAGATAATCTTGATCGCTTTACTGCGCTCCATGAGGCGGTCTATGGGCAAAATGGAAATCGTTTTTTAAATTGTCCCATAAAAAGCAATGTATCATTTGAGAGCTACATCGCTGATTCTTATGGATATGACAGTTTAAAAATTGATCCCAATAAGGTATATGAGCCTTATACGCCCGAATGGTATACTATCAAAAGACGCATGTTTTTTGATAGCCTTGGTGTGGTAAGTGTATTAGATACTCTTATAGCTTGCTTACTATTGTTCAAACAGGAGCGAAGATGTAGATGTATTGAGTGTCATTCAACTGAGGACGGCATTGAAATGAATTCCAAATCTCATGCCGTAGCTATCAGAAGAAAGAAACATCCCCTATGCAAATTTTGCACAAGGTAACTGTTGCTCATGATATCGTATTACTAAAGCCTTTTTTTTTTTTTTTTACTAGGCTTTATTCACGCCCTTGGACTCTTAATGAAGAAATCGAGATAATTGAATACTTGATGTCAGGAAGGCTATCTCCTTCTGAAATTTCACGTACTATAGAAAGAGTTGAACGTCGCGTAAAACATCGAAAGTTTTTAGTGCCAATAAGCAAGGACGCTGTGTTTATGCCTAAAGGATGGTGCAATTTGACAAAATGCCCTGTATACAAATGTTTAGGATGGGGAGCCTACTGGATGTCAACTGTGGATCATATTTTACCCAGATCAAAAGTACCCAGAGGTGAAAAAAAGAATGGCATAAGTGGGAGCAGCTTACAAAACATGTGTGAGTTGATGAACAGCATCAAGGGTAATGACTATGAAGAAAAAATCAGAGCTTGGTGGCATATGTTTAAAGAGACAAAACAGGAAAAAAGACAAAGATTAAACACGATTAGCTAAAGAAGAAGGCTGATAATAGTTAACATTTGTAGGAGTAGGCTTATCTTTGTATGCAAATACTTTATGAATTTATGATCAGAAATAAACTCACTTATGTGCAAAAGAAATATTCCATGTTTTTCTTAGTGTACAACTCATTCTTTTCCATTTACACCGTTCTGACACAAATTCATCTGTTGATCTTTTAATTTCTACGCGAACACTGGCACTTTTATCATTGATGGTCGTCTTCAAATAATCTGTGAGATCTTAGGTACACTCTTTCAGCAATAATTACTGATGAATGATATTTTTTCACCACTGTCTACTGTAGCCTATAATACTATAAAAACTAAAAATGAACTCAACAGACTCGTAAGAAAAAGTACTCTTTTTCATGATACTTGGGAAAAGAGTGATTGGCAGAGCATTCATATTTTTAACATACTTCAATATCCACAATATGTTTTGTTTCAAATCAGGTACGTCATACAACTAAAACGATATCCAATGAATTTATTAATTAGAAAACTAATGAAAAAAAAAAAATAACGTGTTACTCGCTTTATACTTACTGAGGCGTTAAGGAATGCGCTGCCTATAACGGCAGCGCATTAAATCCAGGATCATCATTAGTTTTTTGAAGGGCTTTCAGTGCCATGTTTTAATTTGTAAACCAAGACACTATATATTTTTAATGCATTGTTCACACCACGAATCCCACACCGTACCACAACGTTTGATGGCCACAAGCAGATATCTCTTCTTTAGAAGCTTTCAAAGTAGTACGGGCGTTCTTACCTGTTATAATGATCTGCTATAAAACAGATGGAACTAATAGATATTATCTTTACCTTTTCTAAGTAGTGGTGTTTCTTGGAAATTGTCATCACTTGCTTCAAAAGATAAGTTTTGAGTAAGTTTGCGTGCGTTTGTGCAAACAGAGAAAGGAGCCCGCTATCGATGGCTAAATGGGCCCTTAACGCAAGCCAAATGGACTTTATAGCTTACATACCTTTCCCTTTATTTCGTTTTGTCTTTGGAGGCGGAAGGTCATCGTCTTTCTTTTACTTCATACTGAAGTAGCGAAAAAGAAAGAAGGAAAGAAAAAAGGAAAAGTAACTGCGTCAGCCTTGTAATATTAATTAATAATTGACAGCTTTATGTTTAACCATGTTTTCCTTAATAATAAAATGTATTCTGGAATGAAAAGCTCTCTACTTTTGGCGCACTGTACGTCTTGGTGCGATCAGCTTCTATTAAAAACTGACGATAAAAGCAGTTATCTTTATACAAGTGATTGGTAATGATGCTAAAATGTCACATGATGGTCATGGATCATTATCATAATTATCAGGAACAGTGGCTGAAGAAATAGCAGTAAAGAGGGAAAAGAAGAGGCGCACGCTAGCGTTACTCACATGTTCCATGAGGAAATAAGATTATATATTGAGTTGACATGTATGCAGCATGTGCCTGGCTAACACGTTTAAAGTACTGCTCAAATCCAATGTTTTGACAAAGACTGTTATTGCCTCTCAAGGTAAGAACAATATCACTGGAGCCTCTATCACCATACTCGATTGGGATAACAGCAACAATTTCCTCCATTGTTGGAAAATTGAGAGTGCGTCTATCGCCTCCTTCAGTTAAACACATTCTCATCGATGAACTGATGATAATGTACATTGTTGGTTTCTGTTTGATCATTACCGTCACTGACTATGCTGCTGCTCTCATGGTTGCTCAATAGCTCATACGTATGGCGATATACACGTGCAAAGGAATTACATTGGGCAAGCATAGCTGAAAACTCTAATGAACTCAGGATCAAGGTTGCCGTTTCGTGCTTGTCTCCATTCAGCGGCATAGGAAGAATCAAAGATATACAGCTGGGCGTAGAAAGCTTCACTACCCTTGACTGGAGTCAAAGCTCCTTGATGGTGACAAAGTGCGCCATAGATCTGAAAGACGTTTATTCGACTTCTATTGCTATTGTTGTTGCCGCTGTTTTTGGTACGATCTTCATCTGAGACAATGTCGTACTCAAAAGAAGTAAAAGCAAAGACAGCGTTATACCGGTGAAGTTTATCCTTAAAGTGCCTTCCTTGAGCGTCTGTACTTGTAAGCAAGCCTTTCAAGTACTGATGTGGACCAGGCAAGAGCTGCAGCTGGACTGATCCCCGCTTGCAACATGACTCCTAGCTAGGGTTCCTCAACGAAGATATCTCTTGCCTTTCATCAATCCACTGCAAGACGTGGCAATGGGAACGCTCCTTACCCATACATTCAAGGTCCAAAGGACAGTTACGAGAAAACTGCGATATATAGACGGCAGGAATGATCTGAGAAGGTTCTACTCTAGGTCTTCCCCTGCGTCTTACTGGGCTACCTTCCTTCTCTTCTTATTCAGTTCGACGTCTGCGCTGTAAGCTGTAGCTCTTTCTCTGCACACTTGGCAGGTACGATAGTTTGAATTTGTTGGCAATGTTGCAACATAAGAGAAGCATATGGTTATTCTATAAGCATTGTTTTCCATTGCTCTAATGAGCGGCAAAAGTCGAACTAGAAGACAAATTCGAATCAAAAGAAAGATCACATACCAAGTTCTTTCAATAGGTTAAAGATCAATAAGAGAAACGTTCAATAAGATGAGAAAGAAAAGAAAATTCATGTGCTTTCAGAAACCAAATGCCTGTCGCGTAGGTGTGATATTTTACTAATAAATCATAATAATAATTAAACACCATTGACCATGAATATGTAGTTTGTAAGGTAAGGATTATATTCCAAGTCTGCAACCTCTTGATGTTTTTTGCTTAACACAATTTGCGAAACGTTCATAATTTGCCTCTTTTGCGCAGGATACAGCCACCAAAGCACAGAATTCACCAGATTACGCATAAGATACATTGCTGAAGATACAGAGAACTATGAAGAGGCTGACAAGAAAGGAAGCAGGTAACTTCATTTTAGTTTGATGAATGATTCCTTGCTCCTCAAAAAGTTGCTCTGTATTTATATATTTTCGATTGTTGATCCTAAGGGGGCTATTCCGAATTCTTTTTGAGTGTGTGTTCTATTCAAACGGCCATATTTACATTCAGTGTATGTGGTATGTTTAGAATAAGCCGATTTTCCTTCTGTTGTGGACGCTAGCCAAAGACCATTCTATCTCCTTAACTTCTTTCGTTAAAACAGGCTGACAAGGAAATATAAATTTTGTATTCATGTAAGCTCTATGCAAACCGGAAGAACACGGAGTTTAATTTTTAAGGTACTGAAATTAATCAGAAACAACCTAGCAGCTACTGCGAGTAGTCATTTCAAAATAACCAAAAATTATTATTACTTGAACAGACATTCATAGGTTGTATTCTTAGTTAGCGAATAAAGAAAGTACAAACATTTAGACTTCCTTAGAACTACCTCATGGCTCTTATCTCTAGTCTAGTCCTGCCTGGGAAATTTTGAAAAGAGATCAGCAAAACATAGGACAGCGACTGCATATTAATATATACACTTACAGAAAACACAGGCTGTGAGAAGTTAAATATATATTATTTACAAATTCGTATACGAAAATAGTTGTCTGTAGTCTTGCACGGCCGTTTATCAAGAGCACATAACTTCTAAAAAAGTGTATCCGAGAAATGGGAGATCAAAGGTCAGTTTTCGAAGTAGTCAAATGTTTGTGCAATAGCTGCTTCAGCAGAACCATTGGCGGTGCTTACATATGGTTGCAGCCAAGTGGCCAGTTTTTCCAGCCTATTGTTCAGACTTTTGTTTCCCAGAATCGGGATCTCCTATACTCCATCTATAAAGAGAGCACCAACGTCAAGCAAAAGGTCTTTTTTTCCCATATGTATATAGACGATCTACAGTACCATATGCCGACTTTATATCTAAGAAGGCCAGTACTGAGGCTATATGATGAAAGCGGCGGAGGATGTTGCATATTTCGGCTAGGCAGAGAGCTTGGTCTAAGGATTCTCTGGACTCACGGAAACCGCCTTGAGCTATGCCCAGGAGAGAGCTATTAGCTACCAAAAAGCTGTACTTTCCGGCTGACACGGAATCAAATTACAGCCATTCTTTTGCCCTACAAACGTTACAATACTGCTTATGCAGTTTCTCGGGTTGCCCCAGTCCTATTCTGCCTTTGGTCTTCGCAGAGCTACGTTCGCCGGACGTAAAAGCAATGGGTTGCTGCAAGCTCCTATTTCAAGTAGTAGGCATGCTGGATTTCTCTGTTAACTGGGAGGCAGTGAATATATCGGTGGTCAGAGATTCCGGTTTCGCGGATATACCTCGATTTGCCGACTTGGAACGGTCGTGGTCGTCGAACAAACTGGGGCCAACTGCGGATGAAGGATATCTTCGAATATAGTCCAATTCACAACTGTTTGAGACAAAGAACTTACTTGTCAAACACAAGGTTTAAACATCGAGTAAGCCGATT